CCATTGTTTGGCGAATAGATATTTAGAATTGTAATATCCTCCTGAAGGAGAGATCCTTTAATTAGTATGTAGCGACCTTCTTTATCTCTTCTCACGAATTTTAATTTGAAGTCTATTTTATCTGATATTAGGATTGCAACTCCCGCCTGTTTACGGGGTCCGTTTGCTTGGTAGATTTTGTTCCAGCCTTTAACATTGAAAATGTGTTTGTTTTTACGGGCAAGATGTGACTCCTGCAGGCAGCAGATAGAAGGGTCTTGTTTTTTAATCCAACTAGACAGTCTATGTCGCTTAATTGGAGAGTTCAGTCCGTTAACATTAAGAGATAGGACTGAGAGGTATTTGGGAGTTCCTGCCATGTTATCTACCTTCTTGGGGGCTGCGAAAACTGGGTTCTTCCTATGGTTCTTGGATTCTCAGTTTGGGTGCAGTTTCTTGCCTTTATTGTGGTCTTGTTGGTTTTCTATGTGTAGGACATCTTTAAGAATCTTTTGTAGGGCTGGTGTGGTGGAGATGTATTGTTTCAATTTTTCTTTGCTATGGAAGGTTTTTATTTGGCCTTCAGTTATGAAGAAGAGTTTAGCTGGGTACAGTATTCTTGGTTGATAGTTGTTTGTTTTTAGGGCATGACATACATCATTCCAGGCTCTTCTTGCTTTGATTGTCTCTGCTGAGAAATCTGAGGTGATTCTAATTGGTTTCCCTTTATAGGTGATTACCCTTTTCTCCTTGACAGCTTTAAGGATCTTTTCCTTGTTCTGAGTTGATCCTGTGTGGCTTATAATGTGACGGTGGGATGTCCTATTCTGGTCTGGTCTATTTGAGGTTCTAAAGGCTTCTTGTATCTGAACAGGCCTATCTTTTTGCATGTTTGGGAAGTTCTCTGCTAGGATCCTGTTAAACAAATTTCCTAGACCATTAACTTCTGTTTCTAGGTGCTCCTCTACACCCATTATCCTTAGATTAGGCCTTCTGATGGTGTCTTCCAGGTGTTGGATAGATCTATCATATTTCTTGGACTTGTCTTGGATGGTTGTATGTTCTTTCTCTATAATATCTAGGCTGTCTTCAATCCCTGAGATTCGATCTTCTGCATGGTCTAACCTGCTGTCAAGACTCTCTACTTTGTTTTTTTATCTCTTTTCCTTCTAGTTGGTCAGCTTTGATGGCTTCAAGTTCTTTGTTGAAGCTCTGTTTTAGGTCTTGTATGAATTTCTTTACTTCCTTAATTTGGTGTTCAGTGTTTGTTCTCAAATCACTTAGTTGATTGGTTATGGTTTCTTTGGACTCCCATTCCTTCTGTTGGGTTCCATTCAGCATTCCCTTTGTGGTCTCCCTGACTTCCTTCAGCTCTTTGTTAATGGATTCCATGAATGCCTTTAGTGATCTTTGTGTGTTCTCTATCTGGTCTCTCAATTCCTGTATTACTCTTTGATTAGCTTCCTCCCGTTCATGGGATTCCTGCAGTTCTCTTTGAGTGTTCTCAGCCTGCTCACGCCATTCCTCCCTTTCTCTTTGAGTATTCTCAAGTTGTTCATGCAAATCCTGTATCAGTTTTTGAGTAGCTTCTTCACGCTTATGATATTCCTGTATAAACTTCTGGGATGCCTCCTCTCTCTCCCTATCACGCTCATACAGAGTCCTTTTTACGTTGTCAAACTTCTCATTTATCATGTTTGCCAGCAGTGTTTGCAGAGCTATTTGGGAACTCTTCTCTGGATTATTCATTATTTGTTCTAACCCCTGATTATCAAGATTGGGAATTGAGATACCCGAATTTGCCATTTTTCTTGTGTTTTTCTGGCTTACTCTGCCCATTTGAGATGAAGATAGCACCAGTTTTGTGCTAGAACACTATCTTAAGGCAACCATCAACCAAAGTTTGCATTTGTACAGTCAATAGTCTACAGATACAATCTAGTTCAACAGAGACATCTATTCGACATCAAACAACTATATGTTAAAGGACTTCGAACCGCAGAGAAGAATTTGGAAAACGAGAAATTATTAGGGTTAGGGAGAGATGTGGGTAAAAAATAGGAATAGATTGGTGTGGGGAGGCACAGGGAGAGTTAACTATGTCCTAATCACAATGCAGGAAATAGGTTGGGTAGGGTGCAAGTAGAGAGAGAGAGAAAAAGAAGAAAGGGAAAGGGGAATGAAAAGAGACCAGAAAAAAAAAATAGAAACATAAAAATTAATGTTATTATAGAGATTAAAAGACCATCTATTTAGAGAGGAATGTGAATATATTAAGGGAAAGGGAGGGACATAGAGGAGATGTGAAAAACTTTAAAAAAATGCTTAAAAATATTATATAGGTATAAAGAGGTAGTACTGCTATTAATGAATTTAAGTCTCAGAGGTTTTGAATTGAGTAATAAGTTTGTGGATTAAGTGTGTACACAACGGGGGATAGGGTCTACTAGTTAACTACGGGTTTATCTGAGGATGTGCAGGACAAGAGTTAAGTCACATAAAGAAGAACAAAAGAGAGGAAAAGGTGGAAAGGATAGGAAAGTGAGAAGAAAAGATCAGAAGTTCAGTAGAGCTAGACAAAAAACAAAAAGATAATTAAGAATGAAAGAAAAAGAGAAAGAAGACAAGAAAAGAAAGGAAAACACACATTCACGTATTCCTAAAATAAAAATTATAAGAGGAGAAAAAAAAAAGTTACTGGAAAACAATTATTTTTTCAGAAGAGGCAAAAATTAAAGATTAATAAAAGTTTTAGAAAAAGAAAAAAAATTTTTTGTATATATAAGGTAACCAAAAAAAAAAGAAAGAAAAGAAGAAGAAGAAAAAAAAAGTTCTTTGATTTTTTTTTTTTTTTGGGAGGGGTGGGAAGAGTCCTGTATCTCCCTTTTGTCTGTAACCAGAGTCTGGTTGGAGTCTCTGGTCAGCTTGAGGTCCCGTGGCTTGATTGGTTTCTTAAGTCAGTTTGTTGGAACAGGCAGAAAAATGTTCTGCTTTACCCAAGATTTTGAGATCCCCCTCCCAGGTTAGTTTACTGGGAGGGTGATCTGCTTTGAGAATCACACAAGAGGGGGATGCAGTGATGAGGCTAGGTTCTGGGTAGAGTTGAGGCCTTTCAACAAACAGTAGCTTTTCCCTGGGGCTATTTTGTGAAAAAAAACTCACAGCACCCAGCCTGGAGCCATTCTCAGGGTTTCTGTTTTTCAATTGATTGTGGTGGCTGCTAGAGGGAGGGGCAGCCTCTGGCTCTGGTTACCCGGTGAGGAGAGCCACTCCAATGGCTGGCGCCTGAGCTGGGTGACTTTTCCCTGGATGGAACTGAGTCTGTGAGGTCACTTCGCCGTTAAGTTCTTGTGACCTGCTAAATGACTCGTTTTATTCCAAGGCCTGAGCTGGAGCTAGCCGCTCCTCCAAGCTTTGTCGGTATCCAAGATGGAGATCACCGGTGCTGGGTGGGGAGGGGTGGCCTTCCCTCCTCTGCTCCCTGAGAAGGAGTGAGGAAGTCGGGCTTCTACTCATGCTGAGTCTTGGATCCTGGGTCGTCTCTGGTCTGCAAAGTGCAGGATGAAGTTGTCTGCTCCTTGTCGGTTCTTGCTGGTGTTGAGTAGAATCCGCTCGTCGCTGCGTCTGGCTCCTTCGTCCCGGACTGTGTCTCAGGTATGACCCCGCTGCGGTGGTCGCCGACGCGACCCTGCCACCGCAGCGGCAGCTGCTGGCAGGCGCTCAGATGTGTCTGCTTGGCTTCCCCTCTCTTGACTAATTCTCTGTCCTGTGATGGCACACTAGGTGTGATTCTCTGGCTTGGGACTGTTCACTGGAACTCTGAAACTGCTTTCTATGCAAGAGCTTGTTCAGATTCCAGCTTCTCCTCCGCCATCTTCCCGGAACTCCTCACAGTATGTCTTTTTAACCTTTCATACCTGGACAATTTCTAAAACCATATTCAAACCTAATGCAGACACTGCATGGTTTTGACTTTATCTCCTAGTCCTCTCAGATTCTTTATAAACAGGAATGACTATATCCAATTTAGAGACGAGGAAACAGACTTAAAATTAAAGGATTGTCAATTTTTTTAAAATATTAATCCAGATGCACTGTACTAAAAAAGCTGACATGTTAAGCTGGGCACAGTGGGTCACACTTGTAATTCTTGTTACTCGGAGGCTGAGGTATATAGGTCACAGTTCAAGGTCAGCCTGGGCAGAAAAGTCTGCAAACATCTTACCTCCAATGACTCACCAAAAAGCAGAATGTGGAGGTATGTATGGCTCAAGTGGTACAGAGCCAGTCCTGAGCAAAAGAAAACTAAGAGATGGTGTCTAGGCCCTCAGTTCAAGCCCCAGTACTGGAACCAAAACAAAACAAAATTGATCATGTTGAATTGAAACCCCTTTTTACAACTAAAGATATTTACCAAATATTAAAACACATCTATGATTCCACTAGACTGGGCCACTCAAAGCCATATGTCTATTAAAGCTTCAAGCCTGTCCCTGATCCTGTCTCTATCCCTCTTAGATAGTGTGGGGCAACCAGATTGGAAGGGCTTAAAGGAAAAAGAAAAAGAAAACCACAGGTCACCGAGAAACCTACTAGAGTAGCAGCCCGTCCCACTTCTCCGCTGTGGGTGTTGCCTAGGGTGCTCACCCTTCTATGCCAACTTTGCAGCTGTGGTGATGATTGTCTACTTTCACGACACCTCTGCAATCGTGCACAGCTTGGGGACCTTTGCCACCCCCTCACCCACCTCCTCCAGCCGCGAATCTAGCAGACCCTCTCACCTGATCTGATCAGCTGACTTCACGGTTGCCTGGGCTGTAGGCTCCCTCCTGCCAGTTCCCACCCGAATAGTAGTAGCTGGAAAGAGGCCGACCCCCCCCCCCTGCTGCGCAGTCGCGTTGGAAGCTTAGTGGCCCCGCCTCCGTTTCCTTGGCAACGCAGTAAACCTTGAGACTGAGCACGTTGGAGATGTGCTTAAGCAGATCCAGATCTGCGGAAGGTAGATCAGAGAGCAAGAGAACATGGGGAAGCCAAGAAAGGTTAAGTGGGAGGAAGGTCAGTTCCCTCTCTCCACGGAGCTGTGTGTGGTTTTTGTAAGAGCCAGGTCCTCTCGACCTTTCTCTCCTTCCACTAGGCTGTCAGTAGGCTGCCACAGAGCAAGGAGCCTTCCCTCACCTGGAGTTTCGCCTCTTTGTTGATCTTTAGGTTTGCCTGATAACTACTTCTTTGGAACATGTCAATCAAGGAAGCTCTTTCCTTACTACCATCCCCCAAACAGATTGGGGAACAAGTTTCTCCCTATTAGGGGGGCGCCCCACCGTGGGCCTGGACGGTACACAGACACAGATGTGAGTATTCGCCTGCCTTTAGGTGGGTCTCGGTTCCCTGGCTATGGAAGGATAAACTTTAAGGTATCTTATACCAGTTTCTCCCTTTAGTTCAGTCCTCAGGGTAACTGTTGTATTAAGAGTGAGTTCAGCTCTTGCGGGACTGGAAAGATCCAATCCATTGGAATTCAAAAATGTCGTTTATTTGACCTGTCCAGCCATACTCCTTGGTAAAACCATACGTGTTATGTATATAATTGTTTAGATGGTCTTGAGCTCAAAGGAGTCAAATCAAGTAAGAAAGAGAAATGTTTTGCAAAGAAGGTTCAGAGAGGAACATTCTAAGTTCACAGCATTTTGAAAGATGTTCTCTGTGTTACTGACATTTCCTTTCTCTCCCATTCCCTCTCCCACTCAAAGTGGAATAGCTTAGCATACAACTTATCTAAGATTCCCACCAGTGTAAAAGGATATACTCTCGGAGCCAGAACAGCGGCAAGATTTAAGACAATCAAGGTAATGTGCTGGGGTTGCAGGATGATCTTAGTTGTTCCATGAAACACTTGGGCATTCTCATTGCAAATGTGTGTAAGGGTCCTGGAGAGAATAGGAAACAATCCACTGAAAATAAGTGATCCCCAGACAAGGGCTTCAATGCTGAGATGCCTACAGTTGAAATACTGGAAGGTGTGCATGTGTGTGTTTGTGTGAGTGTGATATTTATTAATGTATTATATATATTATTATCTTGCCAGTTTAAAAAAAACAGATTCTGAATTTTCCAGCCTTTTGTGGGATTGGGTTCAAATGATGAGGTTATGGACTGTGACAAATGACCTTGGTTTTCTACCCATCCTTGTTTATGTTTACAACCTCTGTATTATTTGTCCTTAGACAATCTACTCCCATATCTTAATTTTTTTGGCATCCAGAAAGGCCTATTTCTATGTCTTAAAATGACTGAAACATAGTTGATTTATAGAAAGAAAAATGACTCTTTTTTTTAACCATAAGGAGATAGATGATAGATGCACACACAGATGCATGTGCACACATGCACACAACACACACACACACACACACACATACACACACATGATTCTCTAACACATTGATCTTTTTCTTGGTAACAGGATACAACACCTTACCCAGGCATGTACCAGAAAGTAAACACTGGTGAAAAGAAAGTCAAGCAAAATTTTGCTCCATTTAATACCTTGATGCCTCAATTTGGGAGCTATTCAAAGGAGCCTTCTTATCCTGGGTATGTCTCCTCTTTTCGGGTGCTCTTAAGGGAATATCAAGTAGGAAAAGCAGTCCTTAAATCAGGATTACATACAAACCATCCCAGTTAAAGTTAAGAGAATATCAAGTAGGAAAAGCAGTCCTTAAATCAGGATTACATACAAACCATCCCAGTTAAAGAAACAACTTACCTTTAAATGTTTAACCTCTTGCCCTTCAGATCCCTGGCACTATAGAATCTGTTATTCATGAAATAGCCTGTATTTTGTGCCAGGTAGTTTTATAGGTTCCACATATCTAGCAGTGGTGCACCCATCACACAATGTTCCTGATATTTCTTGGAGCTTACATGTTGGAGTCCACACAGGTAAGAATCAAATACCCGTAATCTTGGTTTTCTAGGTCTAATATTCAGTATAGTTGGGAAAGAATTGGTAGTGGAGTTAAAAAAAAAAACTAGAGTATAGTGAACAAGGATATAAAGAGAAAAGAGAATGAGAGGGGTGGTCTAGGGTTTACAAAGGCTTTGTGAGTTAAGAGGCTTATTCTAAATGCTTTAGGAACTCAGAATGTATGAGTAAATGCTCCAGGTGTTTAGTCATGAGAAATTCAAGGATCAAAGAGCAACTTTCCAAGATTGCATTTAGGTTTAGGAATTGAATCTTGATACCCCCCTCCACCCTGCCATGTCTACCCTAATTATCATTTCCACACAATAAAGTCTATATCAAGACGTAAAGTGTTCTGAAAAAATACAACAGTTAAGAAAATGTAATTGATTCTGCTCTGCTGTCCCTAGATTACAAAAAGATTGTCGGTGCATGTTAATCATCAACTTCAAATTGTGGGCAGTACCAGCTCATCACTCACCTTTCCAGGGATCTTCTGTCTCTTAACTAAGGACATTGAGTGGCAGAAATACTTTTTTTTTGGACTTGGCATTTTATACATATATATTTATTTACATTTTTATTATTATATCTTTAAGTAGTTGTACAAAGAAGTTTCCATTCTACAAAACAGTATATGAGTACAATATGAGTACAAGGTGTCTGATAACATTGTCACCCATCGCTCCTAACCCATCCCTTCCCTCACATTTTTTTTAAAATTGAGATTAGGTGATTATATAAATTTCACATATTTCACAGTATTGTGGAATAGTGACACTTAGTTAAAGTCACAAAAACATTTTAACCTTCACAAGGCATATTGTCATTATCATGGTCTATAAAGTTTGTGAATTCTATGAGCTTTGGCAATACAAATTATTTCTTCCACTTTGGGTGATGATTACATTTCTTTCCTTTTGCTTAGTGTAGGCTGTTTCCTCTTTCCCTCTCATTCCTCCCTTCCCATTGCTGTCTTTGGGTTGCTTAGTTCTTTTTATTCTATGTCCAGTGCAGCTGCAGAAATACTTTTTTTTTTCGGGTCCAGTCATGGGGCCTGAACTCTGGGTCTGGGCACTGTCCCTCAGCTCTTTAGCTCAAGGCTAGCGCTCTACCACTTGAGCCACAGCGCCACTTCTGGCTTTTTTTTTCCTTTTTGCTTATGTGGTACTGAGGAATCAAACCCAGGGCCTCATGCATGCAAGGCAAGCACTCTACCACTGAGCCACCTTCCCATCCCCCTGCAGAAATACTTTTTAAGCTTTTTAATCTTTGCCCTAACTATGTGTTGGGAGTGACTATCTCTAACACAGATCTCTAATTAGAAATACATTAACAAGTACATGTGCCTGACATCAAGAGGTTAGTCAGTCTGTTATCTTTCCCCAAGGAGTTCAGGGATGGATGTGCTACTGATGGAGTTCATGTGTGGTAACTAACTCATTATACATGTTTGTATTTTTATTTCTAGTCCTGGCACATACAACCCAGAGAAAAAGCCACCCTTAAAAGTTACTTGGCCAATGGTATTTGGAGCTCCAGACTGGGATCAGGTTCCTTGTCTGGAGAAAAGAACCCTTAAAACTGAGGTAATAGGATTTGAACTTCTGTGAGCTGCTCTGTCTAGTTATGTCATAAACCAGGTGTCTGTAAAGAATAAAACTTCAGGGAGTTCATGGTTCCCTGAAATTATGTGCACAAGGTTGTGTGTATATAAGAATAAGGAATTTTTTGAGACATACATAACTTCATACAATTTTGAAATGTGTATATATGTATAGCCAAAACTCATACTTACATATATGATCTTCAAGTAATCCCTAGGATGACAGATAGGGATAGATACTAGGAATAGCATGATTTGTACAGATTGTACAGCTGGAATCCAGATCTTATGACTCCTAATGAAGTACTTCTTCCAGTGTATCACTTGCATGTTACATCATTAGAGAGCTGTAGATAAGAGCACAATTCTAGGAAAAATATTACCTGGGTTCCAATACTAGCTCTAGTATTGACTTGCTGTATGATGTTAAGCAAATCCTTTAATTTCTAAGCTCTAATTTTCTTATTTATAAAATGAGTATGATAATACAATTGATCCAATGACACAATTAATCTTAAATTTTGTGTGTGTGTGCAGTCCTAGGTCTTGAGCTCAGAGACAGTACACTGTCCCTGAGCTCAAGACCTAGGGCCAGTGTACTGTCCCTAAGCTTTTTACTCAGGGCTATCCCTCTACCACTTGAGCTATAGTTCCACTTCTTTTTGGTGGTTAATTGGAGATAAGAGTCTCACAGACTTTCCTGCCCAGACTGGCTTTGAACTGAGATCTTAGATCTCAGTGTCCTGAATGGCTAGGATTACAGATATGAGCCACTGGCACCCTGCTAAATTTAACTATTAAAATAATATAGAAAAGTATTTCACACAGTACCTGATCAAATAACATATCTTTGATTGGTTAGCTACTATAATTTTAGCAGTATTTTCCTAGTGGAATTTAGAATTAACTCCAGAAATATGTGTTAAATGCCATGTATTAATACCATTGTGCTCTACCCTGTGATAGTGTTCAAGGATATATAATCCTTCTCTTCAAGGAGCCTATCAAATACTAGAATGTGTACCAAATAGTAAATAATTTGTTGCATGATGGATGTATACCATAGTAAGATGAAGAGTAGATTTGCACAAATATTGAACCAATAGGGTTAGATTACTATGGAGTTGGGGTTCTGCTGAGCCACATTGCTATAATGCACAGTCAGGAAGACTGCAGACAGAGGCTTAACATTAGAATATTGATCTAGACAATATTGTTTCATTGCAGCTGTCAACAGACAAAGACTTCAGAGAGCATCGGAACCGTGTGGCTTACTTCAGCCTATATTACAATTGAGAAGTAGTCACTACCTTCATGTACTCTTCTTGACCAGGGGATCTCCAGGACTGAGTAGAGAGGCCTTCTTCTACTTCTTCATTAATTTGGCCCTCTTGTCTGCCAGGGTGGGGCCAAGGGAGAGGAGCAAGGTCTCATACCAACTGTATACAAACATAAAAGACTTGTCAAGTATTATATGCCCATCTTCTGGTTTGTGGTCTGCCATTGGGTGATCTTATTTTGTGTGAATTATCTGTGCATCTCTTCCCTCAACCTCTAATTCCAGGTGCTGGTACCTATCTCTGGTACTAGATGGCTTTTGGCCTATACATGTCAAGGACTTAAATGGCATTTGGGTTTGTTAGATACGGAGGATAATTAAACAGCAGGTTAAAATGCATATGTGTTAGGAGCTCTTCCAAGCTTTGGAGTTCCCTGATCAGGAATGTGAAGGCCCTGATTTGGAAATCTTCCCAAATAGCCTCAATACTTGAAGAACCAAAAAGACACTCTTTCATATTATATAATCTGTTTAGTCAATCAATATAATGATTTGTGCCTCCATTTCAGGAAAGGTGGTAAGCACTGGAGATCAACATAATCTCATCTGCTAGCTCCTTTAGTCTGGCCTGAAGTCAGAGAACCTCCCAGGGCAGGTAGTGGATGGTATCTGCCCCTCAATCTGAATGAACACCAAAGCCATAGAAATGAGTGTTATGGGTGTAAGAATTTGAATCTACTGCATTCACATTTCACATATATAGAGATAGTCTGGTCTGGGGGGTCAGGTCCTTTCTTTCCAACATGAGTTAAAGTAAGTCAAGCATAATAATGTAGGATTAGCATTAAGTGTGGCTACCTTTTAGTGGGAAGGTCCTCTAGTAAGCACTTAGGCCTATTAGTAATTGTGAAAGGTGTTAAGTCTGAATGGATAAGGAGTGGGAAATGCCAAGGGCCATAGAAAAGCTCCAGACCATCATAATCCAGAGGACTGCACATGGTAAATGTTTACTCTGAAAGGAACATTCAGAGATAGCCTTTGCATGAGACTTATGGAGCAAACTGATTTGGCTGGGGGGGAAGGGAGGGTCCGGTCCTGGGGCCTGAACTCTGGGCCTGGGTGCTGTCCCTCAGCTCTTCAGCTCAAGGTTAGCACTCTACCACTTGAGCCACAGCACCACTTCTGGCTTTTTTTTTTCTGCTTATGTGGTGCTGAAGAATCAAACCCAGGGCCTCATGCATGCAAGGCAAGCTCTCTACCACTGAACCACCTTCAGCCCACAAACTGATTTCTTAAGGGCCAGGGTTTTCTGAAATCATATTGGAAAATGATGAGAAATATTGGAAACCAACTTGGAATATTAAGGTAATAATAATGCTACTCAAAGCTAAAAATTTGCCCAGTTATATAGGCTTTTTTTAAGGTGGTGATTTCATTATTATCTTCCATTGTCATCAAGTGTCTATGACGTGATTGAGCTAATCATAGTGATGCATGCCTGTAATCTCAGTACTTAGAAGATTAAGACAGGCCATACAACAGTGATACTCACAAGACAATATGTTAAAAATGATCTGTACAACTTGGGGGATGTTGAGGGGAGGGGAAGTGGGAGAAAAATGAGGGAGAAGGTAACAATTTCGACAAGAACTGTACTCACTACCGTATGTAACTGTAACCCCTCTGTACATCACCTTGACAATATTTTTTAAATAAGAAGACTAAAACAGGAAAATTGTATGTTTCAGGCCAGCCTGAACTATATAGTGAGTTCAAGAGCAACTTGAGCTATGTAGTAACAACCTTTCTCAAAAACAACATAAATTTTTTTTAAAAAGTGAGCTGGGAACTGGTGATTCAAAGCCAGCACAAGCAGAAAAGTCAATGAGATTCTTGTTTCTAACTAACCAACAAAAAGACAGATGTGGCACTGTGGCTCAAATAGTAGAGCTCTAGCCTTGAGAAAATTAAAAGCTCAGGCACAGCTCCTAGTCCCTAAGTTCAAGCTATAGGACCGACAACAAAAAAAAAATCTAAGAAAAAAAATTTTTTAAATGAGCCAGACACTGGTGGCTCATGCCTGTAATCCTAACTGCCCAGGAGACTGAGATCTGAGCATCATCTCTCTTCAAAGCCAGTCCAGGCTTTGAGACTCTTATCTCCAATTAACCACTCAAAAACCAGAAGTGGAGCTGTGGCTCAAAGTGGTAGAGTGCTAGCCTTGAGCAAGAGAGCTCAAGAACAGTGCCCAGGCCCTGAGTTCAAACCCATAACTGACATAATAATAATAAAGGCTAGCTATTTTTAGGGAAAAATGGGAGATTAGAAGTTTCATCCATGTGACTTGGAGAATAAAAAGGGTCAGAGTAATAAAGGAAGAGACTATGTTCTGAGGTGAGGAAGAACATTTGGAATTAAGAGATAACAGGACAACTTTAAAGAAATAAGCAAAAAATATGCATAGAAAACTTATGAAACTGTCCAAAGCTCTAAGCACTAACCTCAACTCCTGTGAGGAGGGGAAGGTGGTTAAGGCCACAATCAAAAGTTCATCCAGGAGGCCACATGACTTTTTTTTTTTTACCTACTAAGGCAAACCTATCAGAATGATTGTACATTTCTCAGCAGAAAGCCCAAAGGCCAGAAGAACATGAAATGATATATTTCAAGGCCTGAAAGACAATAATTTTCAATCAATATTCTATATCCAGAAAAATTACCCTCATAGAAGTAAAGATTATCCATGATAAATGTAAACCAAAGCAATTCATGACAACTATGCTGGCATTGTAGATGTCACTCAAAGGAGTACTACACACAAAAGAAGAAGAAGAAACACAAACTCAAACATAAAAGCACAGGAAAGAATAAACCTCACAAGAAGAGTACATAAATAGATATGGGAAAGAATCAAAAACCATTAATTCAATAATCAATAACCCTTTACACATTTAAAAAACAAAAATTAAGGTCCAACTATTTGCAGGCTGCAAGAAACCTCACTGTCAAAATCACATGGAGACAAAGTGAAAGGATTGAAAAAGGTATTCTGGGGAGGGGAGATGGGAAGGGACAGGAAGGGGAAACAAAGGAGGAGGCAACAATGCTTGATAAGAAATGTACTCATTACCTTGCCCATGTAATTGTAACCCCTCTGTACGGTATTTTCACAATTAAAAAAGTATTCTAAGCAAACAGAAGGTGAAAGCAAGAAAAAGTAGCTCTATTCCTATGTGATAAAAGATGACTTTTAGTCTAAATTAGTCATGAGGTAAACAAGGTCACTGCATATTAAGGAACAATCCATTAAGAAGATAAAAGTACACATACACCAAATGTTGATGTACTTAAAACTAATCACACACACACACACACACACACACACACACACACACACACACACACACACACACACACACACAATCTAATTCATATAAAGGGACAGATTCAGATACAATAATTGTGACTTTAATATCCCACTCTTATCAACAGATAGATCAACCACACAAAGATGTTTTAAGAAATTTAGAATTAAACAGCACCATAGATCAAATAGACTCAACAGACAGCTACAGAATAGCCCATCCAACAGTTGCAGAACACATAGTCTTCTAAGTAGTTCATGGCACTTCTCCAAAACAGATGACATGATAAGCCACCAAGTCAGTCTCAACAAATATGAAAAAATGAAATAATCTCATATTTTATCAGGCTCTAATAGAATATAATTAGAGACATATCAAGAGAAACTACAGAAAATATAGAAACATGGAGATTGGACAATGAACTTTTCTTTTTTTTGGTCAGTCATGGGTCTTGAACTCTGGGCCTGGGCATTGTCCCTGAGCTATTCAGCTCAAGGTGAGCACTCTACCGCTTGAGCCACAGCACCACTTGGAGATAGAGTCTCACAGAGTTTCCTGCCCAGGCTGGCTTTGAACTGCGATCCTCAGATCTCAGCCTCCTGAGTAGCTAGGATTATAATCATGAGCCACCAGTGCCTAGCTGACAATGAACTTTTTAATATTCAACGAGTTACTTAAAAATTCAGTAGGGAAGGAGCTAGAGGTGTGGCTAAAGTGCCTACCTAACAAGCATAAATCCCTGATTTCAAACTCGGTACCCACAAAAAAGTCATTAGGGGAAAATTTAAATTCCTAGAATCAAATGACATGAAAATTCAACTTGCCATAATGTTTAGGATACAGCAAAGGCAGTTCTAAAAGCAAAGTTTATTGTTAGGAGTATGAATTTAAAACTTAAGCTATAAAACAGGACAAAATCATGTTTACAGGAAAATGAACAGAACTAGAGACCATCATATTAAGTGAAACACACAACTCAGAAGACAAATCGAATCTATTTATCCTACAAGAGGAGCACAACACTAAACAGTAAGATCAACTCCACTATATGTGACTAGAGTTATCTAATGAAATATCAAGAAATGCGCATGTCTGTATCACTAGGCTCTCCCACAGAAGTTGGCTGAACCTGTTTTGTCTCCTTTTTGCCCCAAAGTACATCTTTCTTTTTTCTTCTTTTTCTCTTTTTTTTTGGTGGGTCGTGGGGCCCAAACTCTGGGCCTGGCTGCTGTCCCTCAGCTCTTCAGCTCAAGACTAGCACTCTACCACTTGAGTCACAGCGTCACTTCCGGCTTTTTCTGCTTATGTGGTGCTGAAGAATCAAACCCAGGGCCTCATGCATGTGAGGCAAGCACTCTACCACTGAGCCACCTTCCCAGCCCCAAGTATATCTTTCTGATTATACCATATTTACAGTAGAACCTTGATATCCACAGGCATGGTTTGAAAGAAACGGTTGTGGAGGGAAAACTGTGACTGCTCAGGATACAGAATTCAGGACTCTAAAATTACTCACACCTACGGTAGGTCTGAAACAGCCTAGGTAAGCTATGTTACTCTCACAAAATTACTATAGCACACATTAACTACCACTCACAAAGCACTACCTATTATTTCATGCGCTTTATCTCACATACCGGACATGCGTGATTCATCTTTCCTATAATGCCACCCAACATCTGCTAAAGATACAACACTTTACAACAAATCTAAAGTTTTCACTTTATCACTTTCATTACGCTCCTTATATGTATTTTGGGCTTGAAAAGATTACCATAAACTTTATTTTGATTTGAGGGCATCGTTTTCTTTTTGAGAGGCAGATT